CCCTCTTCCTCCTTGTCCAGTTCTTCTTAGATCTGCGCCGAGCCACCCTCCCTGGCGCGCTCCGCGCCGCCGGGGGGACCCCAACGCAGATCCGAGAGATCCGCGAGGAGCTCCGAGAGCCTTCTGTTTGTGCCGTTATGTCCCCTGCTCCGCCGCTTCCGCCCCTGCGGGGACAGCAAACGACCACAACCACATCGAGGACACCCCCTGGGGGATACCTTGAGCATGCCAAAATGTTTCAGGACACCAGAAGCAGATTCGTTCTGGTTGTGGTCGACGTGGCGTCCCAGGACGGCCGAATCGACCACAACAACGACCAGAGTGCTTATGTCGAGGTCAGCGGGTTCTCCCCCGAGGGACCCTTCCGAAAAATCCAATTGCGGGGAGACGTAAGACTCGGGTACGGGGGACTCGGGTTGGCCTGACGGGGGCCATCGAAGAATGACGAGACCCAGTCTGAAATCTGACGCGGGCTCCCGCTGCAGACACCCCCACGAAAACGGGACCACCAAAATCCGGGACGCGCTCGTCAACAAAGAGTCGGCAAACCCGAGTTCCGGCTTCCTCGAGTCTTACGTTTCCCGGACACGTAGTCTTAGGTCGGGCGAGTCCCCCTACAGGGGGATTTGGGCGAAAAATAAAAAAAATACTCAAAAAATGCACTCGAAATGGGCAAACATCGACTATTGTTTCCCAAACCTCCTGTGGTGTTGGGCACTCGTTGTGAATAGAGCAGTGTGGTCTCCACCTCCTCCTCCTCCTCCTCCTCCTCCTCCTCCTCCTCCTCGCTGCTCCTCCTCATCCTCCACCTCCTCCTTCCTTCCTCTCCTCCTCCTCCTCCTCCTCCTCCTCCTCCTCCTCCTCCTCCTCCTCCTCCTTCTCTCCTGTCTCCTGTGTTCCTTTCTCCTCTTCTCTCGTGCCGTCTGCGATCTGCGCAACTGTCGCCACTTTCGTGGGCTCCCGGGAGGCCCAACGGAGGTACGTCATACGCGGACCACCTCGGGACATCGCCGACCCCTGGGGGGCCTGCGATCTGCGCAACTGTCGCCACTTTCGTGGGCTCCCGGGAGGCCCAGCGGAGGTACGTCATACGCGGACCACCTCGGGGCCTCGCCGCCCCCTGGGGGGCTTGCGATCTGCGCAACTGTCGCCACTTCCGTGGGCTCCCGGGAGGCCCAGCGGAGGTACGTCATACGCGGACCACCTCGGGACGTCGCCGCCCCCTGGGGGGCCTGCGATCTGCGCAACTGTCGCCACTTTCGTGGGGCTTGGGAGGCCCAGCCCGCCGCTCCCTTTTGTGTTCACTTTTTGGGGCGCGTTTCTTTCAACGCCCCTGTGTTTCCATTTTGTATATGTGCCGTTTCTCTTCTTGCTGCGCTCTTCTGAAATCACTGCTGGATGCTCTTCTTGCGCACTGCGGGTCCTTCAGAATGCCAGTCAGCATTGAGTGGTCCTGAATGGGATTGCCACATGTATAGAAAGGGTTGGGTACGTCACAGGGTAATTTGACTATTCTTGAATTTTCCTCCTGTAGAGGGACAGACCCGACTTAAACTTGGTTGTGGTTGTGGCTCTTTGCTGTGCCTGGAGCCCCCCGCGGAGACTCCGCCTCATGCGCCCCGGGTTCGCGACAGCCATGGCGGCGCGGCCCTGCGCCGCCGCACCGCGGCGGCGCGCGCGCACGCGCGCGGGCCCAAGCCTCGAGGGCCTGGGGCGCGCGATCGGAAGCGTCCAGCGTCCTGGCCGCCTGGCGGCACTCAGAGGAGGAAAAGGTACCGATAGCGCTACCCTTCCCTCGTGTTCGCTCCTTCTCGGGGGCGCGCAAGCATGGATTAGCGATCCATGGACTTGGCGCGCGGTCGCCAAATCCATGGATCGGGGGAGGTGCCCTCCCCAAAATGCGGCCGGTGCCGCCTCGTTCGGCGGCGGACATCCGCGATTTCCCGTGGAAACGGGACCCGTCGCTAATCCACGCCCCCTTAATCCAGGTTTGCGATCGCCTGACTTTCTGAAGTGGCCAAGGGACACACAAACAAATAGATACGAATCCCAGGATCCCCCATCCGTTCCACAGTTTCTGGATATCCCTTTTCCCCTCCATTTCCCATCTATTTTCAATGTTTTCCGTGGGATCGACGATTATTTGTGTCTGTGTTTTTGTCCCCCCTCCGGAGCTCCCCCTCCCCCTCGTGCTCGCCCTTCCCTCGTGTTTGCCCTTTCTGGGCTTCCTCGGAGGCTTCCTGAAACAAGCCGCCCTGGGGCTGCTCTCCGCCATGAGGCTGGCGGCCACCGCCCGCAAGGGCTTCAGCTGCGCCAGCCACGCGGAGCTCAGCCGGGGGCTTAGAGGAGGAACCGGTACCGATAGCTGCCGCTGCCCCTCCCTCGTGTTCGCCCTTGCTGGGCTTCCTCGGAGGCCGTCGTCGCCGTCGCCATGACCAGATTCGCCCCGAAATTCGGGTCAGAGCGCACCGCGGAAGAGGTCCCGAAAGGAGCGGTATCGGTACCAGTTCGTCTCCCCAGGCACACCTCTGGCAACGCTCTGTAGTCAGCTTGCGCTGCTGCAGGCGCCCCCTGACCTTCGAGGACGTTGCCACGGATCTGGCGATAGTCTCGAGGCCGGTCTCTCTCTCTCTGGATGCTCGCGAGCGGGTCGCTATGAAGAGCAGAAACCCACCCTCACATTAGGCACCCCTACTGGCGAATCCATTTACTAATCGTACCTGAGCAAGGAGCCGAACATGGCACGGCTCTTCAAAATACGCCCTGGATTGCTCAGTAAACGCCAGTGATGGCAGTCGGGGTGGCTCTTCCTCCCTTGAACCAAGGCCACATGTGGGCAGCCGCTTGTCCCAGGTGGATGCACCGAGCTCCGACCGCGTTCGGATCCCTGGCCGCAGAGAGCACGCAGGGCGGCCGCTCCGTGGAGGCCCAGCTGCAGGTTCCCCTCGGGCCCGTACGTCTGCGCGCCGAGGCGATGGACCCAAGGGTCGACCAGCACCTGCAGGAACGATCGAGCGACTGCGCTGCCTGACGATACCCGTGGCGCCGTGGCAGCCAGGCGCCGGTCCGAGTGCGGGCGGAGAGCACGAGACGTCCTCCTCCCCTGCCCCCTTCACGCTCCTGCGCATCCAGGGATGCAGCCGGAGCGAGGCCACCCATCGAAGCGTGACGACCAGGACGGCCGTCTGCGGAAGACGTGGTCGAATCGACCGAATGCAGGACGACGTACCTCACAGACGGTGCACATGGAACCTACCAGACGCCGAGGGAGTGCCAACCGGACAAACACGTCAGGACCACGGCACTTGCATACCAACAACACATCACGCGCGACAACTTCACATAGATGGCTGCACCACTTACCCAAATCCGATGGGAGGCCGAAGCTCAGCTCTGCGCCCGCGGCACACGCTGCTGTCACAGAAATGCTGACATGGCCCTCTCCTTCTACATGCAATTACCTATGTTACATATCCTCCTGATGTGCAGGGTCACCGCTGCCATACCGCTAGCCTCCCGCCCTTCGCGTGCTGCCTGGTCGAGGTGTTCACTTAGACCAGCATCGCGATCTCCGCCTCCAGGATCTTCGCCATATCGTCGAATGCCCTTTATTCTGCATCATGACGCGTTGCCATGGGTCCGCTGGCGCTTCCCAGAAGCAGGGCATCTTGCACATGCAGTCTGAGCTGAAAAACACCGGTAGCGACACACATATTCATTTCTGTTCCGACTACTACTCGCCATAACCTCATTGTGTAACCATCGCTGTCAGAGGCATGTTCTCAAGCAAGGCTTCCTTGCCAAACAACGACGCGCCAATACGATGACAGTTCGTTGCATTCGCAAGTGCAGTCAGGCGAGGCTTACGATCGATGGCGCAACATAGCGGTGTGTTCGTTCAATGTCTGGTCCCGATACGAATTCGTGTTGTATTGTCAGCTGTCTGTGGCGCGCCAGAATGCCACAAGGACAATCGATAGTGGCCCGGGCAGCATCCGAAGTGTTGCCCAGCTCCCAGGATTCAAATCGCTTCGGATCGCGAGAGCTGGCGTACTTTCGGATGCCTTTGGCAGGACCGCCACGGCGGACGACAGCGAATCCAGATCTCGCCCAGCAAGTCACCCCGAACGACACCATTGTTAACCCCATAAGCGCTCGAACCAAATTGCTCGCATCATAAGACTGGAGGCGCAGTTGGGGAGGACATCCTGGCGAAGTTCCAATCGCAGCAAGAATTGGCGAACCGTGGCTAGATGCTAGAGGGACAGTGGCACTAAACAGACACTGCCGACACCTGCATCAGCAGAGAATGGCCGATATTAAGTTGCTGCTGCATGCTGGGGTAGTGTCTCAAATATAAGAACGGCCTGGTCAAGCAAATACTGGAGCAAGTCTGCCAAACTACCAGACAACTCCTGATGCCCACAAGCCAATCTCTAGCCGACAGTCTAAGAATTCCAGTAGTCACGCCTACCTGGAGGAACAGACAAAGCGCAATCTCGGCAAATTACACCTGTTTTGACGCATGCGCTAGCAATTAAATAGATTTCCCTAATGATATCCGCCGACCCCTTGCGGGTCGTCAGGCGTGCGAGATCAACCCTTTCAATGTCGCGAAGCACTGCTGGAGTGCAAGTCATGTTTTATGCGTGCTGCCCCTTCAGCTATGCTGCACTTCAAAACAGACGGCGAACAAACATATTTCTAAGGACGGTGCCAGACAAAGCTATAGCAGAGCGAATCAGTCCTAAGTTGACTGAGCTACGTGAGCTGGTACAGGCTCAGGTTCAAGCTCGTGTTCAAGCTCGACATCAGGCTCCAGCCCAAGCTAAAGCACAGGCTCAAACTCACTCTCAAACTGAAACCATCCTCAATCTAGGAGTTGGACCGAAGATCAGGTTAACGAGAAAACGAATTTCACGGGCGCCTGGGAACGGAACATTCCACGCAGCACGTCGACAACGCTTTGTGACCTACACAACGGGATGGAGGTTCCCCCCCCCCTCGCGCAACGGGGGTGGGTTTCGAACCAGCCCCCTGCCTGGCGCGTTTCGTGGTCGCCATCGGCGTCGTAGTTTTTGCCAGCGCCACGGGGGAGGGTCATCGACTTCGTGGTTTGCCAGCGCCGCGCCTGGGGTCGTCGTTTGCCGGCGCCACGCCAGGGGGAGAGCAATCGTCGTCGTCGTCGTCGTCGTCGTCGTCGTCCGTCGTCGTCTGGCGCCAGAAGGGGTGGGCGGCGTCCTCGTCGTCGTCGTCGCCGACGTTTGCCAGTGCCTGGAAGGAGAGGGTCATCGTCGTCGTCGTCATCGTCCGGCGCCGCGCAGGGAGGGGGGCGTCGTCGCCGTCGTCGCCGTCGTTTGCCGGCGCCAGCGGGGAAGATCATCGTCTTTGGCTTCGTCGTCGTCGTCGTCGTCGACGTCGTCTCCGTCGTCGTCGCCCTACTCCTTCTCCTCCTCGTCCTCGTCCTCGTCGTCCAGCGCCAAGGGAGGGGTGAAACCACCGCCTGTTGCGCCAGGGTGGGGACGGGGTTGGGTTCGGACCCCCCCAATCTTAGGGGCGGAAGGCGCCCCGACTCCCCGACGGCCGGGATGTTTGGGGGTGGGGCGGGCCAGTTTGAACCCCTCCACTGCAGCGACCACAGAACGCGATGTTTCAGGTCTAGGCTCGAGCTCGGGGTCTAGACAATATCAAGCACAATCCCACAATCACGATCTAGATCATGATCAGAGACCTGGTCAGGTTCATGCGCAAGCTCAGGCCCACCATCTTACTCAGGCTCACGCTTAAGCTCAAGAGTAACATCAAACGAAAAGCTCTGGCTGAAGATCAGTCCAAACGATTTCAAACTCCAGGCGCAAGCTCAAGCCGAAGTCCAAGCCCAAGCCCGAGCTCAAGCTCAATATGAAGCCTACTGCGAGGCCCATATCAAGTTCAATCTCAAGCTGGGCTCAACGTCAATGTCCAGGTCAAGCGCGAGGGCAAGCTCAAGCTCATGCTCAACGTCAAAGTCAAACTCTGTTAGGCTAGGCGATGCACGGCTAGACTAGACTGGCTCAAGCTAGCGCACGCTTTCGAGCTGCAATGAAGATGAAGCCAAGTATGAAGCCGCAATCAACTGCAACACATGCCATCATCGACGTTTAACACGAATGCTGGAACCACAACTGCGTGTGGAACTGAACATACATCCAAAACCTCGCACTAAAGCTAAACCGGAAATTAACCGATACCAAGGCTGTCAAAGCCAACATGGACTCCAAAGCCAAACGCCAATACATCATAAGCTGGAACACTGTTGGCCAGTATGGTCAACAAAACCTGAACCAATGTCAGAGAGGGTCTTTCACGAGCGCTGTGCTTTGCAAAGTCCCCCCCCCCCTTCGCCAGAACAGGAACGGCCCCTCCCACTTGGAAAATGACCCCCCCCCAAACCGTGCCCCTACCCCCCTGCCGGCGAGAAGCCCCCACCCCCCTGGGCCCCCACAACTTCCCTCTCCCACCCTCGGAAACTCCAGGTTTCTATCCCTCCCGAAGAGCTCGAACAAACGACGACGACGACGACGACGACGACGACGACGACGACGACGACGACGACGACGTTCACCACCACGACGACGACGCTGATGACGATGACGACGACGACGACGACGACGACGACGACGACGACGACGACAACGACGACAACAACGACAGCGAAGACGGCGGCGGCG